CTAACAAGCAGATCTAATCTGAGGCAGGTGTCCATTTAGGGAAAGGAAATTGACTGGTTGAGTCCTTATCCTCCAATTTGAGTGATTCCATTTTTCCCTGTGCTTGGTCAATAAAAGTAACATTCACTGACTTCCACAATGTTTTCTCTTCATTTCTTTGTGTTCCTGAAAGCCAACAAGTTGCACTTTAGAATGACCTTATTATTATTGTTTCATGTTTTTGATCTGAGTTTGTTTTACAGAGTGAAATGTCTGAATGAGWGCTCATCCAAGACTGCTGATTCCATACTTTTTGCCAGGGGTTGTATTTGTAAAAAATGAATACATCCTATACCCAATAACCATGGAGTAGAATAAAGTAGTACACAGTACACAGTAAGTACTACAAGCAGAGCTCTGACCTACACAACTTACATTTTTGCAGCAGGAGTTTTCATTTTTTGTGAGGTGTTTTTGTGTGTGTGTGTTTCAGCTTCAGTGCCGCAGTTCACCAATTCCCCAACTCTGATWGTGATGGTAGGGCTGCCAGCACGAGGAAAAACTTATATTTCCAAGAAACTCACCAGGTACCTGAACTGGATCGGYGTTTCTACCAAAGGTATTAACTCCTGATACAAGAACCAGAAATCAGATGTCATTACAAAATCTTTTTCATTTGCAGTGTTGTGTTTGGTTAAAAAAGAACTAGTAAACTGTTGGAAATTTCCATTAACCACAAAACTGAATAAAGTGTCAGAGTAAAAGAAACTGGCTTGGGTTGATGTGAATTCTGCAACTTAGACAAAGAATTTTAAAGTTGGCTTTCAAAAATTTAGACAAATAGTAGTGTAGCGAAATTAATACGCAATTCATTATTTAGTCATCAAAGGTTGTATACACTTTTAAATACCCTCTTAGACACAAAACTAACATAATTTCAAATGGCAACTTTCTGGCTTTAGGAAACACTAAAATAGTTCAGGAAAAATGGTTGTCAATAAGAGTTAATTTTTTTTGCCAAGCAGAGGGAAAAATATGGAATCACTCAATTCTGAGGAAGAAATTATGGAATCACTCTGTAAATTTTCATTCCCAAAACTAACACATGTATCAAATTAGGTCTGTTTGTTAGTCTGCATCTGAAAAGAGTGATCACACCTTGGAGAGCTGTTGCACCCAGTGGACTGACATGAATCATGGCTCCAACACAAGAGATGTCAATTGAAACAAAAGAGAGGATTATCAAACTCATAAAAGACTTCTAAAGAAGAGAACATGCAAATGTCCACAGYCCTTGATGATATGRGGCTGCATGTCAGGYAAAGGCACTGGGGAGATGACTGTGGTTCATTCTTCTATCAATGCACAAGTTTACATTGACATTTTGGAMAGTTTTCTTATCCCATCAATTGAAAGGATGTTTGGGGATGATGAAATAATTTTTCAAGATGATAATGCCTCGTGCCATAGAGCAAAAACTGTGAAAACATTCCTTGAAAAAAGACACAGAAGGTCAATGTCATGGCCTGCAAATAGTCCTGATCTCAACCCAATTGAAAATCTTTGGTGGAAGTTGAAGAAAATGGTCCATGACAAGGCTCCAACCTGCAAAGCTGATCTGGCAACAGCAATCAGAGAMAGTTGGAGCTGRTTTGATGAAGAGTGTTCTACTCAATAAGTCCATGCCTCAGAAACTGCAGCTGTTGGAAAAGCCAGAGGTGGTTCAACTAAAAAGTGATGTATTCTTTTGTTCCTTTGTTTTTCATGATTCCATAWTGTGATGGAAAGGGGGGCTGTGGGGAGTTGTCCTAGAACTGGAAGGTTGCTGGTTCGATCCCCCGTCCAGCCGTTTCAGTTGTTGTGTCCTTGGGCAAGACACCTCACCCACCTTGCCTACTGATAGTGGTCAGAGGGTCCGTGTCGCTGGTGCATGGAAGCCCCACCTCTGTCAGTGTGCCCCAGGGCAGCTGTGGCTACAATGTAGCTTACCACCATCGGTGTGTGAATGGGTGAATGTCTGTGAGYGTAAAGAGCTTTGGAGTTCGGAGGGACTTGATAAAGCACKTTATAAGTTCAATTCATTTTCCATCATTTTTTTCCTCAGAATTCAGTGATTCCATATTTTTTCCCTCCGCTTGGCCAAAAAAAGTAACTGATACTGACTACCACATTTTTTCCTGATTTCTTTTAGTGTTTCTTAAACCCTGACCGTAGTCCTCATCAGACTGTCATAGAAAGACAAAGTGTCTTCAGTCGGAGGCTTCTTCAACTTCGCTGTAATAC